GGTCCCTCCCTCCCCCTGACCTCCCTCCCCAGCTCCTCCTAACTTCCATTTTTCCTGATATGTTTTTTCCCGGTACTCACCAATACCGAGTACCAGTGCATGGCGAGTCATGAGGTGCCACCCGGCGTCCTAATTGGTCAGGAAGCCAGGCTGCCTAGCCAATCAGGAACCCGGGAGGAAGGTCATAACCCACCGCCCAGATTCCTGATAGGAAAGGAAGCCGGCTCCATGCTCCCTCGGTACTGCCGGTCAGACGGAGATCTCGCTCTGCCAGGAAGTTCCGGTATCGGGGCATTTGGGCGAGAACAAGTACTCACCCAAATACTCAGGAACGGCACCAATACCGATACTAGTATCGGTGCATCCCTAAATGACGCCATGGAAAACATTACGCGAGGACTGACCCCACCGGTGTTAATGAGGCCCCGCCTACAACTGAACTATGACTGTGAGGGTGCAGTGACCCCAAATGACAATTGATGGTGTGGGGGACACAGGAAGGAAGACATCATGGAAAACATTCCCTTTATTATAAAACGGCGGGAAGGTCGGAATGGCGGGCGCGGGTTAACCCTTCACCTGTGACCCACAGACAGTTCAATCTGCGGGCAGCCATGTTCCGTAGTGCTAACAATGGACTGCTGGAGGATTCTGGGTAAAATTTAAGGCAGAAGGTTCTTGAGGTGCGGGGAAATCCTGAGTGTGCAGAGCGCGTCGGCACCATCGCAGAGAGGCCACGCCCCCCTCCGTCAGTGCGTCTTGCGCTTCTTCTTCTTCTGAGGTTTGGCGGCGAGGTACCGCAGGCGCGCCGCGTTCAGCAGCAGCAGGGAGAAGTTCAGGACGTAGGTGGAGATGCAGATGACGCAGAAGTCCTCCAGGATGTAGAAGAGGACGTAGGCCAGGAAGAGGGAGCCCGCGATGGAGACCAGGGACGTCACCAGGAGGGTGGAGGCCGCCGCCACCGAGGACACAAATCCTGGAGGGGGAACGAAATCTATTAGAAGGAAGCAAAGGGACCAATTGGGGCGGGGAGGAGTCTCTGGTCACACGTGTCTGGGTTGCCCATAGCAACAACCCACATGTGACGACGACAGGGAGGCCTCGTGTTCATAAGGTTGCGGTATCCCGACACTCACCGAGCGCTATCTGCAGGGTGTAGAATAGGATTCCAAACACGCTATTGGGCTGATTCAGGAGACTCTTTGCACCCAAAATACCTTCAACCAATCCGAAGCCTCGACCCCACCTGGAAGATATGGTGAGAAGGAAACCATGAAATCATCAGAAATCTTACATTGCGTGCCGCGCGCCCAGTCGCTGCAGTGCCCGAGGTCACCTGTAGAGGTCGCCAGACACTCAGCGCCACCGAGGACTGAGAATATGGCGCACCATCACTTGACAAGAGATCTAAGAGCGTGCACACGCCTGGTCTGTAGTTGCTACGCGGCGCGCACACGCCTGGTCTGTAGTTGCTACGCGGCGCGCACACGCCTGGTCTGTAGTTTCTAAGGAGCGCGCACACGCCTGGTCTGTAGTTTCTAAGGAGCGAGCTCACGCCTGGTCTGTAGTTTCTAAGTAGCGCGCACAGGCTCTGAGAATATGGCGCACCATCACTTGACAAGAGATCTAAGAGCGTGCACACGCCTGGTCTGTAGTTGCTACGCGGCGCGCACACGCCTGGTCTGTAGTTGCTACGGGGCGCGCACACGCCTGGTCTGTAGTTTCTAAGGAGCGCGCACACGCCTGGTCTGTAGTTTCTAAGGAGCGCGCACACGCCTGGTCTGTAGTTACTAAGGAGCGAGCTCACGCCTGGTCTGTAGTTACTAAGGAGCGCGCACACGCCTGGTCTGTAGTTTCTAAGGAGCGCGCACACGCCTGGTCTGTAGTTTCTAAGGAGCGCGCACATGCCTGGTCTGTAGTTTCTAAGCAGCGCGCTCACGCCTGGTCTGTAGTTTCTACGGAGCGCGCACACGCCGGGTCTGTAGTTTCTAAGGAGCGCGCACACGCCTGGTCTGTAGTTTCTACGGGGCGCGCACACGCCGGGTCTGTAGTTTCTACGGGGCGCGCACACGCCTGGTCTGTAGTTTCTAAGGAGCGCGCACACGCCTGGTCTGTAGTTTCTATGGAGCGCGCAATGACCACCCAATCTCCATGTGCACAAAGATGATCTCCGCACACTGGCCTGTCAGTGATCCCTATATACCATACACGTGTCTGTATACACACTGACCGACCCCCGAGGTGATCTCTATATGGGACACACACACGATCTCCATACACACTGACCGACCTGGAGGTGAAGACTTTGGAGCAGCTGATGTCATTGTTGATGTCGCACAGGGCGGTGTACTCCGGGTCTCTCTCCCGGGAAGTCTCTACATGATAGGCGTACACCGACAGACCGATCCCGGCCACACACAGCGCGATCCGCACCGCCCGCTCCCAACCCGGCACCATCCTCATCCTCCGCCACCGATCACTGAGCTGACGTGTCCCGGCTGCACGGCCCCGCCCACCACAGAGGAGGAGGGGGCGGGTCATGGGAAGGACAGCGGACACGATCACACAGAGGGGCGGAGCTTACACTACGGACAATACAAGGTATCGTACACAGGGGGCGGGGCTGATAATAAATCTCAACGTATCACTCACAGGGGGCGGGGCTCAGAGGGAATACAATGTGTCACGTATATGACTTAGACTGGAGAAGTACAATGTGTCCTTTATAGGGGGCGGGACTAAGACTAGGAATGAGAGAAGAGCCAATACTAGAGAAGTACAATGTATCAGTGGGCGGGGCTGAAGAGAAGGCGGGACTACATATATTGTAATCTTTGGGGTTCAGTGCCCATAATCACTTGCTGAACCATGAGAACGTGATTGGTGGGACTTCCCCCTATAACCTCTCCTTACCTCCAATCAGGGGATCTCCCCACATGTCCCCCTATACCTTCTCCTTACCTCCAATCAGGGGATCTCCCCACATGTCCCCCTATAACCTCTCCTTACCTCCAATCAGGGGATCTCCCCACATGTCCCCCTATAACCTCTCCTTACCTCCAATCAGGGGATCTCCCCACATGTCCCCCAATACCCTATCCTTACCTCCAATCAGGGGATCTCCCCACATGTCCCCCTATACCTTCTCCTTACCTCCAATCAGGGGATCTCCCCACATGTCCCCCAATACCTTATCCTTACCTCCAATCAGGGGATCTCCCCACATGTCCCCCAATACCTTCTCCTTACCTCCAATCAGGGGATCTCCCCACATGTCCCCCAATACCTTCTCCTCACCTCCAATCAGGGGATCTCCCCACATGTCCCCCTATACCTTCTCCTTACCTCCAATAAGGGGATCTCCCCACATGTCCTTCCATACCTTCTCCTTACCTCCAATCAGGGGATCCCCCCACATGTCCCCCTATACCTTCTCCTTACCTCCAA